CCCCGGGGAGGCAGGGGGGGCAGGTAGGGACGGGGGGTCCCCGGGGAGGCAGGGGGGGCAGGTAGGGATGGGGGGGTCCCCGGGGAGGCAGGGGGGGCAGGTAGGGACGGGGGTCCCCATGGGGGCAGGGAGGGCAGGGAGGGATGGGGGTCCCCGTGGGGGCAGGGAGTGGACAGCCGGCTTCCACCTTTCATTTCCCGGAGCTGCTTGCTGGCCCTCCTCTGGGTTCTCCTGCCCCTGCTCACCTGAGAGGGGAGGGGTCTCACCTGGGGTCCTGGCAGAGGAGCAGCATAGCCACTGACCAGCTGCCACATGGGTGTGCAGGGCTCCAGTGGGCAGGGCCGCCACAGCTGGTTGTGGGCACATGAGAGTGCTCTGTGAGCCTCCTTAGAAACTAGCAGACAGACCTCTGGTGGCCACAGTTCAAGCTCTGTTCACGGAGTTTGAGCTTCAGGATCTTGATGTGAGGGTCTCAAGCAGCACAAAGTTCTAGTGCTTTCTGGAAAGTATGACTGCCCTTCATAGAGCAAACGTTATAGAGGAGGACCCATCTTAGTCTGCTGGGCTCCAGAACACAACATGATGGTCTGGGGGCTTAAACAACAGTCACTTCTCAGTCTGCAGACTGGTGTTCGGGGATCTGGGTGCTGGTGTGCTTGGGTTCAGGTGACAGCCACCTCCTGGCTTGCAGGTGCCCCTCCTCACAGCATCCTCACTGGCGGAAGAGGCGAGGGTGCTGTCTGGGGTCTCCTTACAAGGGCACTAACCCCGTTCATGGGCCCCACCCTCATGCCCTAATCACCTCCCAACATTTGGGGGTTAGGTTTTGACAAATTTTGGAGACATAGCATTCAGTCTATACTCAGGACCGGTAACCATGTGAGCCACAACTCAGAGAAAGAAGCTGTGGTCACTGTGTGCCCTGACCCTTTCAAAGCCAACGTCTGGTGGACCCAGACGAGAACAGCAAGGCTGACTCTTTGGAGTGCACCATGTTGGGGGGGGGGGAGTCCCACGACACTTGGGTGTGGCAGAGACCCAAAGGGAGGCAGGGGAGCAGGAGACTCCACAGTGGGAAGGGGCTCAGGTGCCCCTGAGGCTAGGGGCAGTGGCGGAGAGCTGGAGCCGGGGTGTCCTTGCGATTGGGAAGGGGGACGTATTGGCTTTGTCCGGAGGGTCCCGCGTTGGAAGTGGGGGGTGGTAAGCAGGAAAGCTGGCGGTCACTACCACCTCCTGGCAGGTTTGGGTCATTTGTTTCTGGGGTGGTCTGTGGCTTCCCGAGCCGGTTGCTGCAGGTTGTCAACCTCAGTTCCATCTTTGTAGATAATCTGCTCTGGTCCATCCACACAGTCAGTCTGTGTGTCTTGATCTTTTGCAGCCTGAGGGTGGTTTTCTTCTCCCGAGACCAGAGGCCGATTCCCAGGGGTGGAGTCCCAGCTGGCGCCCATGGATTCTGGCCCCGGGGAGGCAGGTGTGGCTCTGGCCATCTCCCCACTGGGGCCCAGTGAGAAGTTCCACCTGTTTGTGAGTTACAGCAGCGTGGATGCCGTGTGGACCCACGGGCTCATCAGCCGCCTGGAGGCGGACCTCGCGGGGCTGAGGATCTGCCTGCACGAGCGGGACTTCACCCCGGGGAGGAACGTCCTGGAGAACATGGCCGAGTGCATCCAGCAGAGCCAGAAGGTGCTCCTGGTGCTGAGCCAGGACTTCGTGCAGAGCAGGTGGTGCCTCCTGGAGGCCGACCTGTCGCTCTTCGGCTCCTGCCTGGACAGGAAGCCGGTCATCCCGGTGGTGCTGAGGCCCTGCCGGGTCCCGCTGCACCTCAGCCACCTGACGCACCTGGAGGCGGCAGACAGCCGCTTCTACCCCAAAGTGGTGCAGCTCCTGTGCATGCCCAACCACCGCCTGGCCCGCTCCCTGCCCGCCTGGCGCCCCGCCGCCTCCCTGTACAGCGGGAAGAGCCTCCTGACCCTGAACTGTGTCAACAGGGACAGTCTGCCCTCGTGGAAGGTGGGCACCTTCAGCACCCTCGGCGTCCCCGACCCCCTGAAGGAGGTGCTGGAGGACCCCGAGGTGTACAAGCAGGCCGTGGGCATCCTGAACGGGGTGCCGTCCCCCAGGTCCTGCCTCCGCTACCTGGGCTGCAGGGTCACGCTGGGCGTCGTGCTCTTTCTCGTCGCCATGGCGCTGCTCACCCTGACCATGATTATGGGCTTTCTGGGAAGCTCCCCAGCTCAGCGCTTCTTCTTCGTCTCCGCCACCATATTCTTCTGCCCCCTCTTCTTCATCTTGGGAGTCAACACCCTGTGCTGGTTCAGGAGGTTTTCCAAGAAGAAGATGCGGGAGCTGGTGCTCAGAGTGGGGGAGGCCAACCTCCTGCTGGCGCCCCACTCGCTGCTGATGGGCTGCGACACCATGAACAAGCTGCACTTCGTGTACGTGCTGCTGGGCGACTGCAGACGGGTCTTCCTGGAGGCCGCGGAGGGCGCGGGCGAGGGCGAGGCCCTGTTCCGGGAGGCCCTGCTGCAGTTCTCCTGCAGCTACGCCTGCTGCGTGGCCCACGCGTACTTCCCCGCCTGTGAGGAGGCACACAGGGCCCGCGGCCACCTCGAGCTGGGCCTGTGCTTCTGCCAGTTTGTGGCCCTGCAGCTGAAGGCACGCGAGGGTCACGGGGTCAGCCCTGTGTGACGGCAGTGCCCTTTGCTGGACATCCGGCTGCCCCTCAGCTGGCCTCGCGGGCAAGGCCTCGATGAGGTGCACAGGGGACCGTCTCCTCTGGCCAAGACCTCCGCCCGCGGGCCCCACACCAGCCCGACGGCCCCACGGCCTGCTCTGAAGGCGGAGGAAGCTGGGGAGCGTGGCAGGCTGGCCTTGTGACCCCAGGGGCCCTTAGGACACAGCCTGCTCCTCCCAAGGAAAGGCCCACTGCCTCTCTCTGGACGGCTGCTCAGTGTCCAGGCCCAGGACAGAGCCTGCTGGCTTGCTGTGCCCCACCCTGAGCGGCTCCTCCAGGCACCTGCCCCTCACTCTGGGGCACGGAGCGCGGAGGAGGGCCAGGCCGACCGCGAGGACCCGGGGCCCTCCGTCCTTCACCGCCAGGGCGCTGGACACAGACACACACACTGCGCTCGCACTGTCTACCCCAAGAGCCTGTGCGGCAGCCACGGCCGTCATTGGCTGGACACCAGGAGGCCCACACACCTCCGCGCGGACACCCATCACCCATCGGACCTGGGGCTGCAGTGCCACCTGCTGGTGCCGTGTCCGCCGAGGGCAGAGAGCAGTGCCTGCCTTAGACGCTCTTCCCAACGAGAACGAGAGGCGTCTGCAGACAAGAACATGGAAAATGTGAACTGGTTCTGGAACTGGGGGCACGACACTAGCGTCCTGGCCAAGCCGCACATCTGCCCCGTGTCCAGCTTATGTCTGCAGACCCTGCGCCCCAGCGGCGCCCGGGCAGGACTTTGGACGTGAGGAGGGGCCCCGGGGCACTGCCTCAGCCCTTCTGTCTGTAAAAGAGCAGCTGGCAGGTGATCTCCTGACAGATTTGAAGTTGGCGCTGGATGTTCCTGGCACCCCCCAAAGCCCTCCACACACCGCCAGGTGCTGCACTGGTTTGTAGCCTTGAATCCATCTTGTGTGACCAGTGGCACCCTCGGGGCCTAATGCCACCCTTGCCTCTCCCACGAGCGCAGGCCTCAGGCTACAGCCGCCAGATGACAAGCAAACGAAGTCCCCCATCTGACTTCCTAGCAACCCTTACAGTCAGCAGTGTGCCTGCCTCCCAGGGCCGCCTCTTCTGTACCCCTTAGATCAGACCCCCACCCCGCACCGTGGATCTTCCCCAAACCCCAATCCTGTGGTTTGAATTGACCAATGCAGTCCTAGCTCAGGAACCCCAAAGCACTCCACCCCTAAATTCGAGGCGGGAGTCCCAGCTCCTGCCCCTGTCCACACCCTGCCTTCACGTGGTCTTTCCCGGCACACATGCGCTTCCTCCAGGCCTTGTGAGCCAACCAAATTCTATTTCAGCTTCTCTTGTGCAACAACGGCAGGTCTTGTGATCTGCTGCTGAAGCTCAGCTCGCCATCCAGCAGCCTGTACGCACTAAACACATGTTCACTGGACACAGAGGCTGGACACCTCTATCCTGAGCCCAGGACTCCCCGGGAGGGTCCCCCTTGAGAGGAGCAGAAAAGGGAAGGGCTCTGGTCAAGGGGACAGTGTAAGCAAAGGCACAAAGCAGGACCCCAGGTCACAGGAGGAGCTGCCAAGTAGGGGATGGTCCTGTGACCCCCAGGGCTCAGTTGGTGGCTCTGGGTGCCAGGATTTTCTTAGGGGCAATGCTTGGCATCAGGGGCCATTCCAAAGGGTCCCAGCAATGGACCTCAAGAGACCTCAAGTCTCTGCAGTGTCTGAAGCAGGGGACATAGGCTGGGCCCCTGGCCGAGAAAGAGCCTCCCGGGAACCCCCCGCAGTTGTCTGGGGCGAGGACACAACAGGCCCATCCGTACCCTCTCTGGGCACAGGCGGCCTCCACGAACACCAAGGGGCCTGCTCCAGGCCACAGCTCCTGCGCCCACTGCGGCCGTGGGTCCACTTGGTGCCCTGAATGTGGCTGTGCAGGTGGGGGCACGAGCCCTGCATGCAGCTAGGTCAGCAGCCAGGCCTTTCGAGCCCTGGATTGCTGGCTGCAGCACAGAAGTTCCCGGGGACAGAGGCTGGGGGCCTGCGGGCTGAGGCCTAGCCGTGTGCACAGGCGCCCACGCGCACACGGCCCCTCCACTCTGTGGGCAAACTGCGTGCTACCAGTGTGTTCCTACCCTGTGGCGCCACGGGGCCCAGAGACAACAGATGGACAAAAAAGAGAAGTCAAAGTCCTGTCCCTTCAAAAGAACAGGATATTTCAAGTCATGAAATAACACATTTGTGAGCACAATAAAGAAAAAAGGCTTAAATGAACCATTTTTTTTAGGTTTATTTATTTGGGGGGGGGGGCGAGAGTGTGAGCAGGGGAGGGGCAGAGAGAGGGAGCGAGAGAATCCCAAGCAAGCTCCACACCATCAGCTCACAGCCCAACTCGGGCTGGATCCCAACAACCATGAGATGGTGACCTGAGCTGAAACCTAGAGTCAGGGGCTCAACTGACTGAGCCCCCCCAGGAGCCCTTAAATGAACCACTTTACAGGACTGCTGATCTTGAGCTGTGGGAAACCCATGCCTCTTTCAGATCGTGCTGGCTGGGCATTCTGAGCCTCTGCTGGGGCCGGGCTGGATCAGGCCGAGGGGGCGTGGGTATGATACACCCTGGGGAGCGGTACCCCCAGTGCCTGCCGTGGAGCAGGGTCTGGGGCTGGCTGTCCCCAACCATGCCCGCCGGCGTCTATCCCCAGGGCTGCACTGTCCAGGCCCGTGGCTCCAGAGTGCCCGCACCCGAGCCTGCCTCCCAGCAGCCTAGACACAGGGCTGCCCCAGTCACACTGCCTGCTCTGACCCCCGTCCTGACCCATGCCAGCAGTCGGTAGGGGGGGAGGTCTGATGGGGCCCCGTCCCCAGGCACACCTACTGCACCCAGGACCTCCACGGGGAGGGAGGGGAGGCCACTGTGTGCTCCACCTCCACTATCCACCCCAGGCCAGCCCCGCAGCACACACACGCACCCGGGGGCGGGGAGGGAGGAGGCGCAGGGCTCTCCTGGGACCTCCATCTCCTGCGGTGTCGCAGGAAGCTCGCTGCTCTGTCCTGGCTAATTCTTAGCGGGTGACCTCAGGCGTGCTGGGGCCTGGGGACCCCGAGGAGCTGAGGTTCTAGCTAGTCCTGGGAGCACCTCCCTAGAGCGCTGGTCACCATATGCCAGCTATTGTCCACACCAGCCTTCGGTCCCGGCGTCCCCCCCATGGGGCCTCTGCGTGGGCCTCTTCCAGGGTCCCCACATCGTAAGGCGCTCAGGTAAGAAGAACGCGTGTTCTGACTCCACCCTGAGGTCCCACTGAGGGGCCACACAGGAGCCTGCGGCAGCCTGCGGTGTGGAGTCAGCCCTGTGAGTTGGGTTTCCCTCCGGCACCCCGCCCCGCGTGGACTCACCTGTCTTCTCCGCAGCAACCGGCCGGTGCCTCGCTCAGGGCAGGAGGTCCGTGCCGGGCGGGGACCCCCACCTGCGGGGTCCTGCCCCGGAGTTCCCGGCCCGGCTCAGTGGGGAGCGTTTGCCTGCCCTGAAGGGACTTAACTCTGAAGCACCCTTGTGGAGAGAGACGGGAGGAGGTGAGAGTAACGGGGGTGCGGGGCGGGGGGTACAGACAGGTGGGGGGGCATAACACACGGCTCATCAATGGGGTCCGATGGGTGTCTGTGTGCAGGTGTGTGCGCGTGCGTGCCTGCGTGTGGTCTGCGCTTTACGTGTACGTCTGCGTGCCTGCGTGTGCGGCTGCGTGTGCGCATTGCGTGTACGTGCGTACCTGCGTATGGTCTGCGCTTTACGTGTGCGTCTGCACGCCTGGGTGTGCGCATTGCGTGTACATGCGTGCCTGCGTGTGCGTTGTGTGTGCCTGTGTCCTGCGCATGCGTGTATGTGCGTGTCCCAGAAAGGGTGCAGAGCCCTGTGTTTGTCACGGGGGAAGCCACAGGCAGCCGGACGGAATGCGTGTCCTGCTAGCGTGTGCACCTCGCTGAAGGTGCAGCCCGAGGAAGCGGGGCTGGCTGCGTAGACGACTTGGGTCCGACGGGCCCGAACCCCCTCCGGGTCGCGCAGCGTGTCCGGTAAAGGGCAGGCCCGAAGGCCGCGGGGCCCGGGCGCACCTCGGCCTGGCGTGGACCTCGGGGTCCGGGGCCTCTTCTCGCGCTGAGCGCAGGGCTCCTCACGGTCTCCCCGAACCCCGCCGGCCTGTGGGGCCCCGCGTCCGGGAGCCCGCGAGCTGGGGGCACGTTCTGTGCGCGTGAGAATCGTTCTCACTTCCGGACGTTTAGTCCGACACCGAACAAAGCCCCGTCAGCTCCTTCAGCGCCTTCGGGAGGGACGTTCCGGGGTGCGGGCCCGGCCCCCCGGCCCCCCGGCCCCCCGGCCCCCCGGCCCCCCGGCCCCGGTGGCGCGCAGTGGACAAGAGCGGCGGGCGAGCCTGTGGGCGACCGAGGGCAGGTCCTAGACGGGGCGGCGGGCGGGGTCCCCTGGCAGCCCGCCCGCCCGCCGCCCCGCGCCCGCACTCCGGGGCGGCCGGCTTGGGGAAGTTTGGGCGAGAACCGCGCGGAAAGGGCCCCCGGAGGACGTACGGACCCTGCGACGGGAACCAGGCCGGCGGCAGGGCGGCAGCGCCCCGGGCCGGACGGGGCGCCCGGGCGGTTGTGCGGGCGGCGCAGCGAGGCTTCGCCCGCAAGTCCTGGGAGCATCGGGTCCTAAAGTTGTGCTGTTGCTGCTCATGTAGCATAAGCGGCTAGTTTTAAGTGAAGGGTTGAAAGTTTATGTCCATAATCTAAAGTTTTAGTTTTAGAATAAGTGAGAGGATTTGAGTTTAAGATCTGATGGACTGACCCTGACTCTGAAGTTTCAGATGGTGAGCAGTGTACAAATGTTCATAAGTTTTGTTTGGAGGTTAGAATCAGATGTACCAACTTACGGTTAGACCTTGAAACACCCAGGGCATCTAATTAATCACGCTTATTACGTTTGTGAAATCTTTTAAAAGCTAGAGACTGACTATATATCAAATGCTTAAGTTAAAGAATGAGTGAAGACACACTAACACAAAAGTTACTAGATTTGGAAGCAAGCTTTTAAATGGAGCTTTAAAGCTTGGGAACCCGGTGAGGTTCAGGACAGACCTCTCCGGAATATGCCGCTTCAGCTTGTGGATTGTTTGGAGCTGAAGACACTTGAGACCCTGTGGGCTCCAGAGAAATGTCCTTTCCTTAACCACAGGGACGGATCTAACTTGGGGGTCCTTCCCAGAATAAGGGATATTAAGAGAGATGTTTTATCTCAGTGACTCCTCTGTCTGGGAGGGCAAACATCTAATTACCAACCATCTGTTCCTCTTGTCACACTGAAACGCCTCACTTCCGTCAGACGTCCCAGACTCCCACCCCCTTCTCCTGGGTTCAGGACGACACCTGTACCTCGTTTTGCCTCCTGTCTTTGGAATTTCCAGGTCTATGTGGATTTCCTGTACATGTGTCATTAATTTGGATTTCTCCTGTTAATCTGCCTCATGTCAGATTGGTTCTCACTCCAGCTAGAAGACAGGATTTCTTGTTCCCTGACGATGGTTTAAATTTATAATTATAGGGGCGCCTGGGTGGCTCAGTCGGTTAAGTGTTCGACTTCCGCTCAGGTCATGATCTCACAGTTTGTGGGTTCAAGCCCTGCGTCGGGCTCTGTGCTGACAGCTCAGAGCCTGGAGCCTGCTTCAGGTTCTCTGTCTCCCTGTCTCTCTGACTCTACCCCGCTTGTGCTTGGTCTCTCAAAAATAAATAAACCTAATTTTTTAAAAAAATTATCATTATAAATTGGAAAATGTTACAATTTTATAAATGACAAAATTTTAACCCAGTAAGGCCACTCACAGCACAAACCACACACACACAAATTATTAATTGCGGCAAAGTACTGTAAAGCCATGTGCAGCCCTGTGTGGTCGAGTAGCGCATGCTACCAGCGGCGCTGACGAGAATGCGGACCGTGCATGCGCACCGTGCAGCATGAGTTTCTGTGTTTGTTAAGCCAATGTGGTCGGATAAAATGTGTTTGGCTTTTGTCCTGGGTCCTGGTGTAGAGCTCCTGAAACCCTTGGCATTTCCTGAGTGACGGGTGTCTTTTGTCGCTCAGAACAACACCTGAGTTTATGCTGATGGGATAGCTCAGTGTAGTCCCTGGACAACCCTGGGGTGCAGGCTGCTTGACAGAGGGTGGTTTTCAGCAGCACTCCTGACCTCTGGGAGGGAGGGGACTGAGCAGTGGTTAGAAGAACTGTGGAGCAAGGAGATTCCCAGGACTTCCAGATTGAACATGCAGGTGCAAGAAAGTTCCCTGCTCCTCGGCCCACACCTGGCCTTGTGCCGCTTGCATCTGGCTGTCCCTGATTTGTACGCTTTATAATAAACCAGTAATCTGACAAGTGCCTTTCTGAGTTCTGTGAGTACTTCTGTTCAGTTATCAAATCTGAAGAGGGGATCTCCCAAATTTGTAGTTGAGTTGAAGACAAATGCATGTGGCCTGAGAGTCCTATATTTGTGACCAGCATCGGAGTCGGGAGCAGGCTCATGGGGCCGAGCCCTTCACTCGTGGGGTCTGCGCCAGCTCTGGGGACGAGTGTCATAGCTCTGAACACTAGGACACCCGGCTGGTCCTGGGGAATGAGATTTGGTTGTTTGGGGAAAAGAAATCCTTATAGTGAAAAATGTCAAATAGAAATAAAATGCAGATGCATCTGCTTATTTGCACAAAAAGATCCACAGATAGGCTGAGATGGTAGCGAAGATTGATCTCCCTCAGGGGTGGGAGGGAGCTGGCGACTTAGCTCACCTGCCACTTGGAGCCATGTTCATGTTTTACATACTAAAAAATAATAGAATGAAGTCAACCAAATGGGGGAAGGAGCCTCAAACAGTGCAGGCAGTACGAACAGTACTAAGCAGTCCCGCTGTGCTGCAGAGGAATAACACAGCCACTCTGGTGTGAAGAACAAACCACAACACTTGAACACAGCATTTTGACTATAAATCCCCAAATTAAAGAAAGAACGCTAAACGGGCACCAGACTCTAGTTTGCATGCTTGCTTGTGTCCGGGCATTTCAGAATGTCAGTCCTGACAAGGGCTCCAGTTTGTTCTAAGACTCAGCAAATAAGTATATGGAGGAAAAACAGGAGCCAGTTTTCTCCCTGTTGGAAGATGGAGTTATTAGCAAGGAAAGGGGGAACTGGAATAAACCGTGGGGTTGTGGGTTGGGATTGGAAGTATCACTATGAACTCATGGAGACTCACACATGTTGTGTATGCGCTCATAGTCCATAGATCCTGTATGGATATACTGTATAGATTAAATGTGGTTTGTGTCTATACACGTATAGACACTTGCACACACATGCACAGGTGTACAGGTGCACTCAGAGAGAGGAGGGAAATACAGACTGTGTGCGGATGATTGTGTGAGTGTATGGATCACACCCCCGGCTCTAATCACTGAGCCTGCCTGAAGCCACACCTGCACCCGCACCCAGATCTTGGTGGCACAAGAGGGGCTTCGAGCATCTTTGCTCCACAAAGTCAGGAAGCACCCGAGACCGCTGAGGGCACGTCGGCAGCCTGACTCCCGCCAGCCAGGAATGGCACAGGTGAACATAAGAAATGATAGTGGTGGTAACGAATTGCAGCCTGTTGAACAAAGCGGGAGTCTATGGGTCACGCTGACGTAAATAGATGACTGAGTAAAGGGGGACAAGGGAAATCTTTTCTGTACAGTAAGCCATTAGAATGTCAACCACTAAGTGTAGAAAAAATGCTGCGTTTAGGTCATTGCCACTTGGAAAATACAGTATTATTGATTCAGACAAGAATTGTCAATGGAGGGGCGCCTGGGTGGTTCAGTCTGTTAAGCATCCGGCTCCTGACTTTGACACAGGTCTTGATCGCAGGGTCGTGAGATCAAGCCCTGCTCCTCGCACACCCCCCGCTTGGCCTCCAGCGTCTCCATGGCTTCCTTTAGACACCTGTCTCATCCACTTCCTGGTCATTGCCTGCTGTCCAAAGCCACTCAGACCCCTCACCTTACCTCCCTGGGCTGGAGGCCAGATGGTGAGGGCCCCACACTCAGTCTGAGCACCCAGCTCTGTGTCCCCCCACAGGACAGCACGAGAGCCAAGGATGGCCCCCCAGGGACTCTGACTCTGTCACCCGACACTGCTCAGTGCAGAAAATGCCCGTCTCTTTCCTGGTTCTTCTGGCTGCAGGAGCCCCCAAGGCTGTCATCCCTACCCCCCAGCCCTTAGTGCTAGGCCCTGAGCTCACCTCTCACCTGGTGGGAGCAGACCTGGGCCTGGGAGTGCTGTCCCGGAGCGGGCGGGGCATGCCGGCGCTGGGTGAAGAGTCTCCAACACCCTCAGACCTCCCACCGCCCCTCTAGCTCCAAGGGAATGGGAGACGGGTGCTCCAGGAGTGGGGAGCCCTTTCAGACAGGGATGGGCTCACATCCCCTCTTCAGAGGCCCACGGCCCCTTGCAACCACGCATTTGCTCATTTCTTCAGTGACTTGTACCTCTGCGAGGCGGTTGGGGCAGGAGCCACATGTGGGTGCTTGTCCAGAACAGGGGGGGTCAGAGGCTCCTGTGATGGGGCCTGGGGACCAGGCCAAGCAGCAGGAGGTGGAGGGGCCACACTGGATGCGGGGTTAAGCAGCTGTCAGGGATGGAGCCCAGGCCCCCGAGGGTCTCCTGGATAGAGGCGAGCCTGCTCCTCTGCAGCCAGTGGAGCGGTGGACCGTCCATCCTGAGCCTTGTACAGAGGCTCCCCCTCTCCCTGCGTGAACCTCGCGTCCCAGGGCCGTCTCACTGCCCCTTGCCCCCCACGGTGGCTGCTGCTCTCCGCCATGCTTCGAGGGTCCACCTGAGCATAGAGGGGAGCCCGATGCGGGTGCTCCCCCACACGGGGGCTGGGAGGGCAGGAAAAAGCTCAGCGGGACCAAGGATGCTCAGGAGAAACCAGAGACCCAGGTGGATATGAATCTTTACTTAGAGAAAAGCAACAGAGCTGCAAGCTCGGGGGCAGGGGGCGTCAGCGACGGGTCCTGGAAGCAGGGGCACGACCACAAGATAAGATAGGAGAGCGTCGGGCGGTCACAGGTGCCGGCGGGGGGGCGCTGCCAAGACAGAGGAAGCAGGGGCGAGAGCGGGCGCTGCGAGGTTGGCCCGCAAACCCCCTCACCGCCGCCCGCCCGCCGGCATGGGAAGAAGCGCGAGGCCGAACCCCGTCCCTGGCTTCCTCTTCACCTCCACCCCCCGCCCCCCACTCCCGCCCTTCCCCCCACCCCCCCTGCCCTCCACCCCCATCCCCGCCCTCCACTCCACCCCACCCCGCCCCCGCCCTGCCCTCCACCCCCATGCCCCCCAGCACACCTACCCGGGCCGCAGGGGCGGAGGCCGTCACTGGGGGGCCGGGGGCGGGGCGCTGCCTGCCGCCTTAAGCGCCGCCTCTTTCTCTCCCAGCGCGGAGGACTTGCCGGGGGACTCGGTGGCCGCCGCCGCTGCCCCTGCCTGGGTGGGCGCCTTGGGACCCTCCTTGACAGCGCGGTAACCCTCCCCCCAGGCCGAGGGGGTCTCCGTGCCGTGCTTGCGGCTCAGCGGGTAGGCCCCGATGGCCGCCAGGATGCTGCGGTGACGCTCGGGGTCCATCTCGGTGTAGTACATCTCCAGGGTCAGCGGGGTGCAGATCTTGTGCTGCGGGAGGGGCGGATCAGGGCCGGGCCGCAGGGGTCTTTCCTGGGCGTGACCTCAGACGCGGAGGGGAGGCAGCCCGCTCCCTGCTTCCACAGGGACACCCCGTGGGCCCAGTCCCTGCACTCTGCCCAGAGGCAGCCCCGCACAGGGAGGCCGCGACTGCGCCCCTGCACCCACCGCGCACACCCAGCTCACCAGGCCTTACTTACCCGGAGCAGGAAGCCGTCAGGGCAGGTGAACTGGTCATACCAGATGGCCTTGTACATGATCAGGACACAGCCCAGGAGCGCCATGGCAAAGGCTATCATCCGCGCAGTGGGCAGCTGCAGGGGGCGGGGAAGGGAGAGCGACCCTGAGGAGGGTGGTGTGAAACTGCCCTGGGCTCCTGGGCCTCTGCTTGGCCTTTGTCTCAGAAACAATGGAGGAGAGGAGATGGCAGATTTCACTGATGAAAAATAAAAGGCTTTGGAAATGGTTCGCAAAAAGTGATAAAACATTTAGTGACCTTAAGACCTAAAAAACAGAGTGGGAGGAAATACTAGCCGAGTATACAGCAGAAGTGACTTTCCATAGTACTGACAAGACCCAGGGGTCACTAAGAGACGCAGGACCCACGGCAGGAGCAGGTGGGGCCCAGGCTGGCTCGTGGCCGGAGCCCCCCGGAAGGCAGACGCTGTCCTCACCCACTTTGCAGCAGGACAAAGGCCCCTGGACGGTGGTGACCTGTCCATCTCTCTTCCCTAGAGCAGGCGGGTAAGCCAGGGGCCCCAGCCAGCCCGGCCAGCGCGTGGGCACCCACGGCCTGCAGCCGCCGCCTCGCCATCTCCCCTGCCCTGACCCCCGCGGGACTGGGAGTGTTGGGTTACCCTGCGTCCTTCCTCGGGGTGGTTACAGGCCAGCTTCTGGGCCTCCAGATCGGGGAACTTCTTTGGCTGGTCCGAGGGGGACAGCTGGTATTCTGTCTGTGTCTTGATAACCACCTGCGGAGAGAGAGATGGCCCAGGAGGAGCCTGAAGCGGGAGGGTGGGGTGGGGGCGGGCCCAGGGGTCGCCTTCCCAGCAGTGATGTGGGTGCTGACCATCTGCCAGGACTGCCTAGTGGCTGGGCCCCACTGGCTGCCGGCTGAGGCCAATGGAAGGTGGATGCCGAGAGCCTGCTGGGCCATGGCAGCCCTGGGGCCGGTCCCCACCACACGTGGAACCCCTTAGTCTGCTGCCTTCAACTCCGAGGCTGTCAGCTCTCCCTGACAGGCCAGAAGCTTCCCCTTTAGGTGCTCCATGGCTTGGCTCCCACCTCCAGGAAGTCCACCCTGATTTCTCCTCTGGCTCCCAGAGTCTTGAGGCCCCTACCCACATGGGGCACAGGCAAGCACAGTCCTGTGCTCTGTGAATGCTTCCAAGGGGCAAGCACTGGGCCTTTCCACGTGTCTACTGAGAACCAGGTCCAGACCTGTAGCAGACTCGGCTGATGCCCACCCAGATCACTGGGAGGTGCCCCCACCCCCATGGCCCCCAGCCAAAAGCTGACCTTCAGGTGGCCGCCCCCTGCCCTCCTGCTGGGACAACTCCTGATGCCAGTCATGCTCCACAGCATGTGTGGGGTCAGGCAGGGCTATGCTAGAGCTGAGCCCTGCTTCTCACACATTCCTCCTGAAAGCGGGTCTCCATCGGTCACTTGCCCAAGGCCCCTGTTTCAAGCCCTCAGGGAAGGGTGGGAATTTTTTCCTTGCTGAGCCCCGGTGGGCAGCATCATGGGCTGGGAACTGTCTGCAAGATGTTGTGTGAGTCCTCACAGTCACCCCAGTTGACAGATAAGGAAAGGGTGACTCTGGGTGACCAGAGAACTCATCAGGTCGCACAGATCACCCTTGGCCATCTAGGGTTTTGGCCCAGCCCAGCCTACCTCTGCTTGCTTTCCTGCACGCTGGGGGAGGCCACATCTACATACAACTCACCCCACTGCCCTCAATGCACAGGGCAGGCTGAGAAGAGCCCCTCACCCCCTCATGCTGGCACAGGCCCTCACCTGGTCGGGGAACGGTGGCTGGAGCTGGCTGACGTCCAGGGGGCTGATCAGAGGGACGCTGTCCGTGGTAGCCCCATCCTGGTCCCCTGGGTCCTTGCCCGGCTTCCCGGAGAAGCTGCAACCCAGCTTCACCATGGCGATTGGTGGTCCCCGTCCTGTGCAGAGTAGACACAAGGTTACTGGCCACTGACCACCCAGCAGACGTCCACGCTGGCTGCTAAGGAGTGAGAGGGCCCCAGCTGGCCCCAGTGTTCCCCACACCTGGGCCAGGACAGGCCAGTCTCCCAGGACAAACTGGGCGTGTTCATCCGTAGGCTTCTAGTCTCTTGCCCTGGTCTCCCTCTGGGCCCCAGAGCCATGCACGGGATGCAGCCTCTGGCCAGGGACACCCAGACACACGGCAGTGGTAGCGTGGGCCGCTAGCCAGCCTGCTCCAGTGCACATTCCAAGGGCAGCTATGTGCTCAACAGAAAATGACCCCAGGCAGCAGACTGGAGAGTAGGGTGGCCAGACTTTCCAAATAAAAATACAGGACACTGGTTAAATCTGAATTTCAGATAAGCAATGGATTTTTTAAAAAGTCTAACTATGTCCCATGTAATATGCAAAATAGGACATATACTAAAAAGTTACTTGTCTGAAATTCAAGTTTAGCTGGGGATCCTGTGTTCTATCTGACAAACCTCCTGGAGATGCAGGAAGTAAGGAAGAGGTACGGAAAGAGGACCTCAGTGAGAAAATCCAAGCGCTAACCGCACAGAGCACAGCAGTAACGCTAAAATACCCTGGTGAGCGAGACGGGGACCAGCTGAGGGCGGTGGAGCCTCCTGCAGGAGTGCACAGGCCCCCAGCTCTGCGGGGTCAAGATGAGTTCACCTCTAAGCTGACCAATAGAAACAAAGGCAGGCAGGGGCGCCTGAAGAGCTCAGTAAGTCAAGCACCCAGCTTCCGGCTCAAGTCATGATTTCATGGTTCTCATGGCTTCCGAGTTTGAGCCCTGCATCCGGTTCTGTGCTGAGGGCTTAGAGCCTGGAGCCTGCTTCAGATTCTGTGTCTCCCTCTCTCTCTGCCTTTACCCCACTCACACTGTCTCTCCCTCAAAATTAAACATTGAAAGAAAAAAAAAGAAAGAACAAAGGAGGGCAGCAAACGACCTCCAAACTATAAAAGGAGAAAAATGGGCGGTGTCTGGGTTGAGTGTCTGAAAAGCAAGGGCTCAGTCAGCCGAGCATCCAACTTTGGCTCAGGTTATGATCTCATGGTCCATGAGATGGAGTCCCAGGTCCAGCCCTGTGCTGACAGCTCAGAGCCTGTTGAGATTCTCTCTCTCTCTCTCTCTCTCTCTCTCAACCTCTCTCTCTCTCTTTCTGTCTCTGCCCCTCTCCTCTTCATGCACGCTTTCTCTCTCAAAATAAATATTTGTTTAAAAAAGTGATCAGTCTTTTCACCATATGAAAAGAATAAAGAAGAAAAATCATCCAATCAATTTCAATACTTAGAAAAGTATTTGATAAAATTCAACATTTGTTTATTATTTTAATAATCTATTAGCACTTCAAGGGCAGAAGGAAACTTCCTGAATCCGACTGATAAAGGTCGTGGACAAAAATCCCTAAGTTGTCCTCATACACATGAGTGCGAACAGTGAAAGCTTTTCCTGTAAGATAAGGAGGGAGATAAAAAGGCCTGTTGTTATCAGTTCTACAAATCATGGTGCCGGAGGTTCCAGCCAGCTGTAGGGCAGGGAAAACGGCTGAAAGAAGACAGACCTGGACAGATCAGGTTAAACTCCCACCGCTCACAGATGAAACACTTGTACGTGTGTAACACCCACGAGAATTACAGATAAGTGACGAGGACTTACCTGTAGATAAGCAGGGTCAACCCGAGATAGTCTGAAGTCATTAGATGTCTATGTATCAGTGGCAACAAATTAAGGAATAAGTTTTTGAAAGATTCTATTTAAACAGTATTGGAAATATTGAATACTCAGAAACAGTCTTAATGAGAAGTACGTGGAAAATCATGGAAAACCTCAGTCAAACATTACTGACTGACATTAAAGGAGACCTAAATCCTTTCAGTAAGTGGGGAAGGAAATGGTCATGGATTTGGGAAGGTTCTATGTTTAAAAATAACATTTCCCATCAAAAGGTATCTGTAGAATCAATAAACCCAATCCACAGCCCCACAGAATTCCTGTGTGTGTGAACGTGCCAAGCATTGTAATTTTCCATAAAAATTAAAAATCGAAGGGACAAGAACACATGTGACCTCTTGAAAAAGACCAAGGAGGAGGATTCACCTGCCAGGTGCAGCTGGTCACACAGCCGCGTGGTATAGACGGGTGGTGCACCAACACCCGTGTGGCACAGCTCTGCACACGGACCACAGATTGATGACAGAGATGCCACCTTTCTACAAACACGTGTCCACACGGAAAACAAGGCATTGACACCCTACCTCACAGCACACACACAAATCCACACCACATGGATATACCTAAGTCAGAAAAGCGTCTTGAAGACACTACAGGAGAATGTCTTCCTGGTCTGGGGGAGGGAAAGAGTTCTTCAGTATGACAAGTAAGTGCTAACCATCAAAGGGCTACGTTAAAATTAAGAACTTCTGCTTATTAAAACATAGCCTTCAAAGGATGGAAACAGAAAGCAAGACCAAAAGATATTTTCAATATGCAAATGGCAAAGGACTCGTGGGCTCATCAACAAGGTAGATTGAAACCCAAACTTCTGGTGCCTGTGAATGTAACCTTACTAGGAAACAGGCTCTCTGCAGATGTAACCAAGTTAAGATGACGTCATACTGGACTGCAGGGGCCCTAAGCCAATGACTGTTGTCATTGGAAATGTGGACACACATGGGGAGATGCTCATGTCAAGACGGAGAAGGCTGGAGGGATGCGTTCACAGGCCCAGGAACACGATGGAGCATGGCCCTCCCCCCACCTTCATTTCCAACTTCTTGTCTCCAGAGCCTGTGGAAGAACACATGTCTATTGTTTTAAGCCACCTGGTTGTGGTAATTTGTTAGAGCAGCCTGAAAAAGCCAATGCAGGGCAGATACCAAAATATATAAAGAACATCTCAAGTTGGTAAAGCAAAAGGTAAACCCAATAGAAAAATGGACAGAAAAGGATTTCAGTGGCCATGAATACTAAAAAAGCACTCACCCTCATTAACCCACAAAGGAGATAAATTAGAACCAGCTTAAAGGAGACACACTGAAGCCCATCAGAACCCAGGCGAGATGCCACACAGGTGGTGCCCACTCACGTAATCCACTCATGTCCACCACCGAGTGGCCCTCACTCTAGTGCGAACACCCAGCAAAAAGGCGGGTGTGAGTGAACGTGTGCACAGCACCACACGTCACCCAGAGTGAGGCAAGTAAAGGAACGGAGGCGTTCCTACCACGGAGTCCTAAGAGCAACGGAAGCGGCTGGTCACAGCGACAGGCAAGGGCAGCCCTGAGTCCCACAGAACAACGGTGGCCAAAAGAAACCAGGCACAGGGAAGGTTCAATAGGCGAACTCCAACCACAACCTTTAGGGACCAACTGCTGGCGTTTAGAGACACCACTCTGGGGGTCCTGACCAATTACTGCTCCAGTGTCTGGAGAGTCTGAGTGGCTTCGGGGCCGCGGAGATTTCTAGTCTTCACTTGGATGGTGGAGGCTGGGGCATACTTACGTTAAATTATCAGCTGCGTGTTTGTTTTACGTTCTCTTGCGATGGCAGAGGCACGGCCACCCCATGCCCTGCCCCAGGATTTGGACCCCGGGGTTCCACTGAACACACGGGGTGAGTCCCTCGGCCACTGTTCCCTGGCTGTCTCCCCACCCTCTTCCTTGGGAGGACGAAGGGCAGAGCCCCAGGGGCCGTGCTCCCCGCCCCCCCCCGGCCACAGTCGGGGGTGACTTCACCTTCCCCAGATGCACCCCCTGTAGCAGCCCCACCAGCACAAGCGCCCATCAGGCCCACGGGTGGCCAGTCTCACAGCCCAGCCCCCGCTGTGCGTTCTGGGCGTGGGCAAGCAGGGTGGGAACACGGAGGAGGAGCCCCCACCCAGAGGCGGAGAGAGATGCCCAGCACGGAGTGTGCCCAGCGTGCTGGGCAGGGGGCCGGGCCGGGCAGGACCAGGGAGAGGCCTGGCCAGGAAGCCGCACCGTGGGGGCCCGGGAGGCGGCCGCTGGGCATGACAGGCACGCCCCCATCTCGGACTTCCCTGGCGCCCCACGGAGGAAGGTCCTATCAGGTCCCCGAGCGGGGCCTCCTCCTTGGATCCGCGCTCCTGGCCTGGGGGTGCCTGCAGGCCAGCGAAGCGCCCCACTCCCGCCCTGCCGGGGGGCTTTTCCTGAGGGCAGTGGCTCCGCAGGGGAGCAGCCTGGGGAGCTCTGCACCGGCACCAGGCGTGGGGCACCCGGTTCGGCTTCCCCGGGGCCACGCACACCACGGCCGCTCTCGGAGAGGCAGAGACGCGCAGGGGCCGGGCTTTCCGGGGCGAGGAAGGAGCCTGGGCTCAACGGCGCTGGGCAGGGGCCCCGGGGGGAGGGACTGACGGGGGGCGCGGGGGGCGGGACGGCGGCGCCTGGGGCCTTCCGGCCGCGGAGCGCCCCCTCCCTCCCCCGCTCTCCAGTCAGCCTTCCGTTTACAGAGGAGCGCGAGGGGCACAGCGTGCCGCCCCCACAGCCCCGTCCGCCCGCGGTGGGCCGCCCCCGCCGGAGGGGGTCCTGCCCCCCCCCCCCAGGGAGCCTCTGCCCGGAAGGAGCGCCGCCGCTGGGCCCTCCTGCGGCCGAGCCTGAGCTCCGACGCCGACGCGGTGTGACGTCCGTGTTACGCCATCGCGGGTTTCCATGGCAACGGAGGCTGGCGACAGCAGGTCTTCACGAAGCAAAGGAGCCGCTTGGGACCTTCTGGACCCTCCGCTTCCGGTTCCGGGCCCCTTGCACCAGGCATCATGCTGGGGAAGGGGCTGGACTGCCTGTGGGACCCCCTCCCCCAAACATTCGTTTCCCTCGCTGAGTCCTGGGGACCCTCTGGGACGGCTGGCTGGGCTCGTTCCCACGACAGACACAGAACTCCGTGGGACTGGGGGGTCGCCCCTGTCCCTCCCACCGGCCCCCCTCGCTCCACCCTGCGTGTGTCCTCTCCAGCGGGTCACCGCCCCCACCCGCCGCGGGTTCTCGGGAGGGGGTGGCGCACGCTCCTCTCCGACTCGGGAAGGGGCCCGCGAGGGGCGGCGAGCCGTGCGGGGGGACGGACCCCGGGGCGGGGCGACGGGCCCGCTGTCGCGCCCCCGCGCGCCCCGCACCGCCGCCGCAGGCTGCGTCACGCGGAGGGGCGCGCGTCGCGAGCTTGTGTGGGCCGGGCACGAGCGTCCTGCGCGTGTCGGGCGTGCACGTGACTGCGGGGCGCAGGGCGCCGAGAGCTCACCCCGCCCCTGCCCTGGCCGCAGCCCCCACCAAACGCCCTGCAGGCGGGTCGGGGGGTGGCTTTTGGTCTCGCGGTCGGTGGACTGCAGGCCCCAGCGCCGCCCCGAGGGGCCCCAGCTTTGGCTCCCGCACACCAGCCACCTGTGGCTCCGAGTCCGGGGTCTGCGGCAGGTGGTTCTGGAAAATACCCCTGGGCCTGCCTCGCGCCACCGCGCTGCCCCCGCCACAGCCGGCAGGCTCTCGTGCCGCATCGCTTCTCCGTGGTTGGGGTCGTCTGTCGCCTCCTCGCTGCTCTTCCCGCCCCCGCACAGAACTGGCACCCCCTCCCCACCCAGGGGCCGCCCAGCTGCCTCAGACCGCAGGGGAGAGGGGGCTGCGGGCACCACGGTGAGGGAGCTGATGACCAGCAGCACGACCGCCCCCAAGCCGCCCCGCTCTGCCGAGGATGGGGGGGTCCGGGCAGCGCGTCGGGTCTCTGCGAGGCGGGACACCTAGGGTTCTTCTGGAAGGTCCAGGCAGCGGCTCACCCGGCAGAGGCCCCCCATCCTCCGGAGGCCTGGGGACAGCGTCCCCGCTCCGGCCCGCAGAGACCCCAAAGGAAGACCCTGGCTCAGCCTGGCCGCCACGGGGTCAGCGCAGTGGCCCCCTCCCCCGCCAAACACTCCCCCATCCCTGCACACGCACCTTGCACACGCACCTGCACACGCACCCTCACGCGTACCTCACAGACCCGGGCACACTCCCCTGTGCACACTCGGCTCCCTCCCGCCTCCCCCCGCTCCACAGGAGAAATGTGGAAATGGCTCACAGGCGGCTCCAGCCAGCAGCTGCTGCAGGATGCGGTCGCAGGACGGGGATGCGGAGGAAGGATGCGGTTCCAGACGCTTCGCAGCCGGGGCGGGGCGGGGGAGGGGCCGGGCCGAGACCGAGGCTGCGGTTGCCTGGGAGACGGTGGCGGAGGGAGCCGAGCACTTGCGTCTGCTGCCGCCGCTCGCCTCCCACGGCGCCCCCCCAGTGGAAGCTGTGCCTGCCCCCCTCCATAGCCGTACACACTCAGCTCACACACTCACATCACCTCGCTGCAGGGGATCAGGCACCCTGGCCGCCCCTCGGCCTGGCGGTGTCCGGGCTCTGCCCCACGACCTTGGTCAGGTGCTTACACTGGCTCCCGGGCTCCCCTTTGGCCTCTGGGCTCAGGCACGGCTGGTCTGGCCTCCACGTCCCCCAGAGCAGGGCCTCCTCACGTCTCGGTGCCCGAAGCCCCTGGGCTGTCGGCCTTCCTAGGGCACGCGCGTCACGCCCGGGCACTGCTGGGCCGCGGCGCAGAGAAGGTGCCTGGTGGGCTCTGCGCAGCCACTGGGTGCAGCGGCCGACGGGGCCCCCTGGCTCAGCTGGCTGGGGTCAGGCTGCACCTGCCAGGCTCACAGCTGGTGTGAGACAGCGAGGAAAGCAGCGCGGGTCAGTGCTTCGTCCCTTTTCGCTGTTGCATAGTAGTAGCACCCCGTGGTGTGGACGGCCCCCCTGGACTGTTTCCAGCTGTCTGTAGTTGCCGATGTTTCCAGGAACGCTGTGCCGCGTGTCTCTGCGTGGACTCAGGCCTTCACTTCTCTGGGGCAGGTACCTAGGAGTGGAATTGCTGGGTCACATGGTAGTGTACATTTAACTCGACAAAATGCTAAACTTTTTTCAAAGGGGCTGCACCATTTTACATTCTCACGAGCAACGTAGGAGGGCTCCAGTCTCTCCCCCTCTTCGTCAACACTTGTTGTTATCTGTCTTTTTTTATAATAGCCATCTGTATCAGTGAGGGCCACTGTGGCGAAGCGCCAGAGACTGCGTGGCTGCACAACAGATTTAGTTCCTGATATCAAGATGTGGGTGGTTGGTTTCCCCTGAGGCTTTTGTCCTTGGCTTGTGTCTTCAGATGCCGGCCGGCGCTCTATGCGTCCCGTGTCCTCACTCCCTCTTCTTGTAAGGACACCAGCCAGAATGACATTGTGTTTTGTTTGTAATCTCTATACTCAACTCAGGGCTCGAACTCACGACCTCAGTATCAAAAGCCGCATGCTCCACTGACTGAGCCCGCCACACTCCCTCCCCCATATAACGTCATTTTAACTCAATTATCTTTTCAAAGATCCCATATCCAAATACAACCACATTCCGAGGTGCTGAGGGTTAGAATTTCAACATAAGAAATTTTGAGAGGAACAATTCTGCCCCTAACACTGACCTACCTAGGACATGGAGTGACATCCCACTATGTTTTGAAACTGAATCCCTAATAACTAATGATACTGACTAAACATTTCTTTATGGATTTATTAGCCACTTACATAGCTTATGTGGAATATCCGTTCAAATGTTCCAAATGTTTTTCAGTGGGTTGTTTGTCATATTATTGACTTGTAAGAACTCTTTATATATTCTGGATACAAGTCCGTTAGCAAATATATGATTTACAAACAGTGTCTTTCAGTCTATGACTTGTCTTTTCTCTTTCTTGATGGTATTGTTGGACATGCAAAAGTTTGTAATTTTGATGAAATCCACTGTATCGGGGTTTTTTTAGGTACCATACTTTTGTTGCTATACTTAGGAACTATTTACCTAACCCAAGACAATGATAATTTTTTCATTTTTTTCTTCCAGAGGTTTTATAACTGTAGCTTTTTCATTTAAGAATGATGCGGGGCACCTGGGTGGCTCAGTCAGTTGAGCGTTCGATTTTGGCCCAGGTCATGATCTCACGGTTCATGAGTTCGAGCCCCACATCAGGCCCTGTGCTGACAGCTCAGAGCCTGGAGCCTGCTTCAAATTCTGTGTCTCCCCCTCTCTCTGCCCCTGCCCCTCCCCAGCAATCTCTCTTTCTCTGTCAAAATAAAGAATAAAAACATAAAAAAAATTCTAAGAATGATGCATTTTGAGGCATCTGGGTGGCTCACTCAGATAAGTTTCCAACTTCAGCTCAGGTCATAATCTTGCAGTTCATGAGTTTGAGCCCTGAGTAGGGCTCTGTGCTGACAGCTCAGAGCCTGGAGCCTGTTTTGGATTCTGTGTCTCCCTCTCTCTTTGCCCTCCGCTGTTCACACTGTCTCTCTCAAAAACAAACATTTAAAAAAGAAAAAAAAAAGAATAATGCATTTTGAGAGTAGCTGGGTGTCTCAGTCGATTGAGCACCCCACCTCAGCTCAGGTCATGATCTCATGGTTCATAAGTTTGAACCGCGAATTGGGCTCTGTGCTGACAGCTCAGAGCCTGCTTCAGATCCTCTGTCCCCTTCTCTCTCTGCCCACCACCTCCTTATTCTCTCTCTCTCTCTCTCTCTCAAAAATAAATAAAACATTAAAAAAGATGTCTGGGTGGTTCAGTTGTTTAAACGTCTGACTTAGGCTTGGGTCATGCTCTCACAGTCCATGAGTTTGAGCTCTACATCGGGATCTCTGCTATCAGCACACAGCCCGTTTCAGATCCTCTGTTTCCCTCTCTCTCTCTCTCTCTCTCTCTCTCAAAAATAAATATTTAAAAAATAAAAAAAAATAAATGTTTGAAAAAATCATTAAAAATTGATACATTCTGGGGGTTGCCTGGATGGCTCGGTTGGTTGAGCGACTGACATCAGCTCAGGTTATAATCTCCTGGTTCGTGAGTTCGAGCCCTGGGTTGGGCTCTCTGCCATCAGCACAGAGCCTGCTTCAGATCCTCTGTCCCCATCATTCTCTGTCCCTTCCCCATTCATGCTCTATCTCTCTCAAAAGAAAAATTAATAACTGATGCATTGAGTTAACTTGTGTATAATGTAGTTACAGGTCTAAGTGTTTTGGGGATTTTTTTGCATATGGGTATTTGCCGGTCTCAGCATCTTTTGTTGAAAACACTAACCTTTCCGTATCAAATGGTTTTGACATCTTCGTCGAGAATTAGTTGTCCAGATATGTATAGGTTTATTTCTAGACCCTAATCCCATTTCACTGTTCTGTGCCCAACCCCGCATGCCTGTGGCACGTCACTTGTCACTGTGGCATTAGAGCACGTTTTGGATGGAGGTAGTGTATGCCTTCCGGTTTTCTCCATTCATTTAGAAAGTTGTTTTGACTATTCTGAGTTTTTGGCCTTTTCACATACATTTTAAGATCAACTTGCAGATTTGTGCAAATAATTCTGCTAGGAATTTGATAAGAATCACATCAAATCTATAGATCAAATTTGGGAGAATTGCCATCTTAACAAGACTGAATCTTCCAATCCATGAATCTGGAACATTTCTCCATCTATTTAGATCCACAGTTTTCTCAGCACTAGTCTTGTGCTTCTTTTGTTAAATTCATTTCTAAGTGTTTGATTATTTTCAATGCTATCATACATGAACTTCCCCCCTAATTTCATTAAAATTGTCCATTGCTAGTATATAGTAATTTTTTTGGTATTCCTTAGAACTTTCTAAATACAGGGTCACATCATCTGCAAATAAAGAGCTTTATTTCTCTATTACAATTCGAGCATAATTTTCTTCTGGCCGTGTTGTGCTTCTTGGAATCGACAGGTCAGCACTAAAAAGCAGTGGTGAAAGTTTTTTTCTTTAATTTTCTAAAAAATATTTTTATTTATTTCTGGGAGAGAGAGAGAGACAGCGTGAGCAGGGGAGGGTCAGAGAGAGAGGGAGTCACAGACTGAAACAGGCTCCAGGCTCTGAGCTGGCAGTCAGCACAGAGCCCGACGCAGGGTTTGAACCCACGAACCGCGAGATCATGACCTGAGTGAAAGTCGGACGCTTAACCGACTAAGCCACCCAGGCGCCCCAAGCAGTGACGACAGTTTGCCTCGTTCCCGTGCTTACACAGAAAGCCATTCATCTTTCACTGAAATGCGATGTTCACTGTCAGCCAGGCATCTTCCTAGTTGAAGGTTTTTATCATTAATGGATATTGGATTTTGTCAGATTATTTTTCTACATCTATTAAAATGATTATGTGTTCTTTGTTCTATCAGTATAGTGTAATACATCAATTGATTTTTGAATATTAAATCAATTTTGCATTCCTAAAATAAATTCCTCTTTATGTGTTTTAATATTTAAGAATTTTTGGTCAATGTTCATAAGGAATCATAGTCTCTAGTTTTCTTTTCCTTGTAACGTCTTTGTCTGTCTGTGGACTCGGTGACGCGGGCCTGGAGCACTCTTGTCTGCTGCGTGGTGGGCAGGGAGCTGCTGCGGCTCCTCAGACCCACCTCCAGTCTCTAGCGTCTGCAGGGGGAGGTGGGCTGTGGGCTGACTGTGGGTGCTCTGCTGGTGTGTGTGTGGGTCTCTTGCTGCTTTCTTTTTTTAAGTTAAAAAAATTTTTTTAACACGTATTTATTTTTGAGAGACAGAGCATGAGCAGGGGAGGGGCAGAGAGAGAGGGAGACGCAGAATCCGAAGCAGCTCCAGGCTCTGAGCTGTCAGCACACAGCCCGACGCGGGGCTCGAACTCGCAAATGGTGAGATCATGACCTGAGCCGAAGTTGGACACTCAACCAACTGAGCCTCCCAGGTTCCCCCAAAATATATGTTGGTTTTTTTTTTAATAGTTTTTTTTTTAAATTTTTTTTAATGTTTTTATTTATTTCTAGGAGAGAGAGAGAGACAGCGTGAGCAGGGGAGGATCAGAGACAGAGGGAGTCACAGACTGAAACAGGCTCCAGGCTCCGAGCTGGCAGTCAGCACAGAGCCCAATGCGGGGCTCGAACCCACGAACCGCGAGATCATGACCTAAGCGAAAGTCGGACGCTCAACCGACTAAGCCACCCAGGCGCCCCCCAAAATATGTGTTTTAATTGGCTCATCACTGTCACACATATGCCATACTAATGCAAGATGTTGACTGTGGGGGAAACAGGGGTGAGCAGGACAG